CAGTATAAGTTAATAATCAAATTATGTTATTTGAACTTTCCGTGGATCTAGGGAATTGAGATTTGTGATGGCAGAAATTAGTCTTCAGATTTCATAAGCACATGCGAATTTATGAAGACTTGAAACCGCCGTGTGATTAGGAATGAAATGACAACTGATTTTGTTAGCCTAAAACAATAAATTTAAGGCAAACTAATAGTTCTTAATTTTGTTTGATTTCTCGAGAGTTATTATATTGTGTACTTTATTAGTATAACACAGAAAAATTTGTCATATTCCTGTATGCCTGGAGTGTTTTCAGAAAATTGCACTATATATTTCTCTTCGTTGGCTTTTAATCGTGAGGATGCAAGACGAATGGTAAGCTGGCGACCTTCCTTAACAGTTTTCAAATTCGTTCTCTTACAGATGGCGCTATTAGTCAAGCTCAAAGCCAGAGTGATTCCAAATTAAATCTTTACTATTTTGCGCCACAAATTTTTACTCACGTTCTTGTACTTCAGATATAAATCAGTTGTTAACGCATCTAACCAACAACAAATATACGCGCTCTTATAAATGGTATGAAATCTGTTATTGACAAAACTGTTCACAATTCAGAAGGACGTATGTTGTACTTATCTTTAATTCTGTTAAGTATTACATAGTTTTTGAAGGCTAAGGAAATTCAATATGAGTTTCATGTAACTAAAAAACGTGGCGGTGAAGTGATAGCATTGTTACTTCGTAATTTGTAGGTTACAGGTTCAGATCTCAGCCCCGAGACTGGTTATTCTGACGGATACTTGGTGGTTTTCCTATGTCGCACTATAAAATTCCGGAACAGTGACTCGACTTATGACACGACAGCTTCCTTCCACACCCTTTGCAATTCATGATTCGTTAACAATTTTATCAGTCGGAATTATGTAATCAGCGTCGTTAAAGAAACCCAAAATAACTAAGGTTTTGGTTACGATGGACTGATATGGATCAAAATTAAATTTTGTAAATTCTGGAATTATAAAATTCGTTCCATACCAAAATACAACGAAATTTGTTAGCTGTTCTGCGACGCAAAAGTCACTTACGGACAGAATGAAGGAAAATAAGCATACCAAAAAGTGTGTTTCAGAAGTTAGCTCGTAAAATATATAAATGCATGAAGTGTTATTTTGAAAATAAGACAAGAGAAAAGTTAGCACTTCACGAATGGAATTGTTCTAACTCTAGTTTCAGAGGTCGTTCAAATCGTTTTCTGGCTACTGCGTGACAGTACAGTCGACAGAGATAAAACTTAAAAATAAAAACTGAATATGTAATTTTATGCTCAATTCACAGTTCTTATTGCGCCTTTGGTGGACCGGCAAAATTATTTTTGGTAAGCTAATCCACTATAAAATTCTTATTGACAATTTGATTTCTCAGTCTAACATATTAAAAAATAGTTATAAAGTTCAGCGTTCATGAGACTACTATACGCTTAAACATTCTACGACTGAATTAGGAGAGAAATGTACTGTACCGTATTTTAATTGAAATTGAACACCAAATATACCTGTCACGACAATTAAATTCTTTCTGAACTTAATTTACGATAAAGTCCGAATGAAAATATTTGTCTGATTTTATCTCCATTTTACAGCGATATAAATACAAAGTAAAGTTTTCTCTTAATTATTTTTAGGCATTTTACGGACAAAAACAGTTTTTAAAGACGCTTCATCCTTCTACGTACACGCCTGTCATGTACTGGACATTGGGGAAATTTGACAAATTCAGTTTGCAGTATTTTTTTTATCGAAAACTTCCAC